GCTATAGCTAATGCCGTTGCTGAAACCAGTTGGATTCGAAATCTTCTTCTTGAACTTCATCAGCCACTACGACGAGCCACCATTGTGTTCTGCGACAATATTAGTGCTGTCTATTTGTCCTCAAATCCGGTACAGCATCAACGTACCAAGCATGTTGAAGTCGATATTCATTTTGTTAGAGACAAAGTTGCACTAGGACAGGTTCGAGTTCTTCATGTACCATCCTCTTCCCAGTTCGCAGACATCTTCACAAAAGGATTACCGTCGCTTCTCTTCACTGATTTCCGACACAACCTTGGCGTCCGAAGATCACCGACGGAGTTGGTAGCATGTTAAATATGTCAAGTTATATTACATATTTAATATTATTATTATTTATGGTAGATTCCATATTGTATAGGATCTCTCATTAATGTCAGCTTCCTTATTCTTAACCCTCCTACATGTATATAAGGGGAGGTGAATATATTGTAAAGTGATCATTGGAAATACATAATTCTTCAATAGTGAATGGTAGATCATTGGTATGGTCGGTTTTAAAGGTACGGTATTGAGTCTATCTCTTACGACTTTTCGATTAAGCTTTCTAGTTTCTACAATTATTATGTGTCTAACAGTGAGAATATACGCAGTGGCAAATCCAGGCATGCACTTACACTTTGTGCGAAGGCCTACTGGTTGCAAGTTCAAAGGCATGCACTTACACTTTGTGCGAAGGTAATTCTAGTGTGATGAGTTATATTGACAAAAAATATTAGTGTAAACTTTTTTTATTGGATTAATGTTTTGTGTCGGTATAAACTTTTAAAATGTCAGTTCATTCTTTAATGTAGAACTTGGGGTACACTTATAAATTTTTATTGAGGGCAAGTGCCTGGTTGATGGAAAGTGGAAATTGCAGTGATATGAAACGGGGTACTTCCGGCCAAACAACCCTCAGTAGAAGTGGATAAGCACGCAAGCAACAAGGGTGCGAGTCAGATGTGACGCAGCTCTTGAGCTTATCCTATTTCGACGTCTCAGATCGTTCCACGTCATCCACGTTTATTTCGTTTTTTCCGTCTCAACTACCCCTCCCCTCTTCCTCTCGTTCTCTCCGATTTCCCAGTGCCGATCGGCGTAATTACGTATAACCCCCAAATCTCCGGCGGCGCTTTTTATTTTCAACCCTCGCCGTCCTCGCCTTTCTCTGCACCCAATACATGCGCAGAAGATTGGATGGGGAATGCTAACGGGAGAGAAGACGGACTTCCCGGCAGCAGCGATGAAGTTTCGGGAAGATCCGACGGCGAATCCGGCATGCTTGATCAGGCGCCAAGCTCGCGATTTCCTTCAGCTGACCTGATATCCAATTCGCCGCTGCAGAGTCCGCACCGCTCCCCGTCGCCTCTCTTGTTCGCTCCTCAGGTTCAGCATTCTCCTTCCCGTCCATGCAGTGTTGTTCGATCTGTAGCTAATTTTCGCCAATTTCAATCCCATTTCACTCTCAGGGCGTAAAATTTGGCCGTGATTTTTTCTTTGTCTTCACATTGGAATTTACGATGAAACGTGGCTGATATAAAGTATTTTGGTACTGATCTATAAAATTAAAATAATATTCCCCTTTCTTATTTTTTGTAGGTTCCAGTAGCACCACTGCAACCTCAAGGGGGCGATGGTGCTCCTGTTTTCAATCAAATATGGTCCAGTGAGCCTCATGTTACTGTTGATCATACCCCAGAGCAGGGCATACCTACTTTGATAACTTGGAGCCATGGGGGACACAATGTAACTGTGGAAGGATCTTGGGATAATTGGAGGTCAAGGTAAGTAATTTTATTTCCCAAATTGTAGTCTTTTTGAATAATCTTATCTATGATGATGTAAAGAGTGAAGCATGACATCTACCTTCAGGAAGATACTCCAGGGATCAGGCAAGGACCACAATGTTATCTTGGTCCTCCCGTCAGGTGTATACCATTACAAGTTCATTGTAGATGGCAAAGTTCGATATATTGCTGATCTTCCTTGGGTGGCAGACGAGTTTGGTCGTGTGTGTAATATTCTTGATGTTAATGTGAGGAGATTATTCTTCCTCTCCCTTGGTTCATATGATTGATTAATTGCTTCACATGGCTGATGTAATGTGGACTTGAGTAACCCCTTGAAAGCAGCACGAATGCAATTCATTCTCTAAGCAGGCTTTTGTCATTTTCTTTGGGAACACCATTACTATCACACTTCATCAAATAGGTTTTTAAAAATTGCATGCATTGAGTAGTGCCATTTGATTATTTAACGCCATGATACAAGTTTTTCACCAATTGTATATGTAACCAAAAGAAGTTTTTTTTTTCCTTTCGCAGAATCGTGTGCCTGAGAACCTCCTGCACAGTGTCTCAGAGTTCGAGGCCCCGCCGTCACCTGACTCTACCTATGATCAGGCATTTCTAGGGGAAGAAGATTTTGCCAAGGATCCATTGGTAGTTCCTCCTCAACTCCATCTGGCAGTTCTCGATTCAGATAGACCAGATGAAACTGATGCTTCTTCCAAGCCGCAGCATGTGGTGCTTAACCACCTCTTCATAGAGAAAGAATGGTCGTCATCACAGTCTTCTGTTGCTCTTGGTCTTACACATAGGTTCCAGGCCAAATATGTCACGGTTGTCCTCTATAAACCACTAAGGAGGTAAATATCTGATATTCTGATCTCTCAAATGTGGATATTTGCGCTCGATAAGTAATTTGGTTTCAGACAACTCTGTGGGTTTTTATCTCCCAAGTCCCAACTAGTGTATGACTACATCTCTGATCTGATGATGCATTCTCCCTAATGATGCCCAAATGCAAGAATATATATATTTAGGCGTACCCTCGATCCTCTCTGGGTGTTTCCATCCTTTGCATTTATCTTTAGGTGTAGCTAGCATACATTCTCATTGTAGTCTGTTTCAGTTATCATGGCTTCGGGGTATTCATGAACTATGGAGTCGATGTATATTACTATAACATTGTCATCATCACCACTAATACTACTACTACTAGGATACAATCATCATCTTCATGCAGCATGATGCTATTTTTGAGACATGGCATGTTTTCACACATGAAATATATTCAAGTAATTGAAAATAGGGACAATCTATTCATGGAGATATGCCGTATTTAGTTATTTATAATCTCTGGCGCATTCACTTTATAGTCCTTAAATTCTCATCCATGTAATTTTAGTCCATTCACTAACAGAAACGGAATGTATGTCCCAATAGTTACAAGGATGCTAAGACAATTGTGTAATAAGGCTGGTAATATAACACCACTAACGCCCCGTTTCGTTCAACTTATTTTTTCTGATCTGATCTGATCTTTTGTAGTTTCGATCTGATCTAATCTGATCTGATATAATTGGATCTGATTTGATTGGATAGGTTCTGTTCTGATTAGATTTGATCTGATCTGATTGCTTTTAATATGATCTGGTCTGATCTGATTAATTATGATTTGATTTTAAAATTCAAATCAAAAATTTGATTTGACATTATAAGAACGTTTGAAAATTGAAATGATAATTCATATTATAATATAATCAATATTTTTTTATAATTATTTTTAATAAAATAAAATTAGTTAATTCATATAATAGAATAATCATTCATATTATAATGTAATAATATTTTTTTGGAAAAATTATCCAAAATAACCCTAACTTTACCCAGTCTTTCAAAAATAATCTCACAATTCACTGTGATGCATAATAATTCTAACTTTATTAAAATTTGCCAGTTTTGGGTCACTGTTAAGTTTTTAATGGAGGGTTAACGGAAATACCCGTTTTAGGCAACAAAATAAAAGTTGGGATTATTTTTGATGAATTTTTGTTTTTTATTTTTTTTTTAAAATTTTTATTTAAATTTTTTGAATTACTTTCAACCTCCATTTCTTTTCTTTTTTTAAAGATTATTTTTACCTTAGAAAAAATAGATATAAAAAAAATAAAAATAAAAAAATAACTAAATCATACAAAATTAATCAAATAAATAATGTAATTAATATAAATTAAACAAAAACTGGTAAAAATAAAATAAATATATACGGAGTGGTGGATTTTAACATTTTGCACACTCTACGGAGTCTTAATATACTACTTATTTTTTAAAAGAACAAGCCGTTCGGTAAAGTTGGAACTATTGTAGATAATTTTTTTCTTAAAAATAAGAAGTGATATGTTAATGCTTTATATAGTGCATAAAATATTAAAACCAACCCGTATTTTTTTATCGTACTTATTACTAATTTCAAGTTAGTTTCTATTGATTACCTTATTTATTTTATTATTTTTGTATCATTTTAGGTACATTTCTCATTTTTTTTCATTTTTTATATCTATTATATTTTTTTAAACTAAGACTAATCTTTAAAAAAGGAAAAAGAAATGATGATGGTGGTAGAAAGTAATTTTTATAGCTATAAAATATTAACATATCACTTTTTATTTTTTAGAAAAACATTATCTATAATAATTCTAACTTACCGGACGGCTTGTTATTTTTTTCTTTTTCATTATTTTTTACATCTATTTTTTTCTAAGGTAAGAATAATCTTTAAAAAAGAAAAGAAATGGAGGTTGAAAGTAATTCAAAAAATTTAAATAAAAATTTAAAAAATTAAAAAAACAAAAATTCAACAAAAATAATCCCAACTTTCATTTTGTTGCCAAAAATGGGCATTTCCGTTAACCTTCCTTTAGAAACTTAACAGCGACCCAAAATTGGCAAATTTCAATAAAGTTGGGATTATTATGCATCACAGTGAAAGGTGGGATTATTTTTGAAAGACCGGGTAAAGTTGTGATTATTTTGGGTAATTTTTCTTATTTTTTATTTTATGTTTATTTTTTTGTGAAATTAGAATATTAATTTATTATTTTAATAATTACTTCATATATACATTAGAATAAATGTTTAATTTATATATACATTAAAAATTAATTAAATTTAGATAATCAATATATAGAAGAGATAGCATTTTTATTAAAATATCTCATCCTTATAAAAGATCAAAATTTTAGAAACTCAAATAACAGGCATCAATAAAAATGTATTTTAAAAATAGAATTAGATTGACATTGTCAATGTATTTTAAAAATAATTTTTCTGACGTCTAATAATTAAGAATTAATTTCTCAGTTTTTTATTTAACTTGTTTCTAAAGTTTATTCTTTTTCATTTTTAATAATAATAATAATAGTAATTCTTTATGGAATCTGATCTGGTTTGATCTGATTGGATTTGATCTGATCTCATTCGATCTGATCTGGTCTGATCTGATCTGATGTGATCTAATTTTAATAAGAATAAGAAAAAAGAAGAAAAAAATAAGTTGAACGGAACGGAGTCTAAGATCTGTATTACCAATGCAACTAAGGTCTAAAATCTGTATTGCCAATGCAACTAAGATATAAATCCTTAGAAAAAAATTGTGTAAAATGTCTCTCCAAGATATAATCCTTTGGAAAAAAAATTAGAAATAGTACAACCATGAAGAGACACTGAAGTGGAAATATTGTACCGCACTCTGCAAATTGCTACGGCATACTTGGTACGACCTAAATGTCGAACTGCCGAAGTGTTATTTTCTCTTCAAGATATGTAAATTACAAAGTTGTACGGAAGTCGAGTAGACAATGTTTTGATTTGCGCTGTTTCTTGCCTTTACGCACCTCTTTCTGGCTCCGGCCTCTGCTTTCCAGGCTCCTCAGTCGACCTCTGCAACATTAGAACAATTGTACTGAACCATCACTTCCATAGCTACTCAATATCTTGTTCAAATAAATTCCATGGATGGTTTCTTATAACATGTTTTATTTATTTAGTCTCCCATTCTTAAATATTAAATACATGGTTTTCCTTCAAAAAAAAATACATGGTTTCAATTTTTAAAAACTACTCTATATTTAATAATCCGTCATTGGGTGACTTTACGTGAAAAAATGATTTGCACATAATTGAAGAAACCATTCAGAATAAGAGAAACACAGAGAAAGGATTAAAAAAGAGTTTATGTTTTTATCTCCAAAACAAGAGTTTACACTGTGATAATGAACAATGCATATTGGCATTTTACAATAGTTTTTGATTTTGTATATGGTCATTAATGGAACTAAATGTATTTTAGTTCTTATTTTAGGTATAAAAATATAAAATTCTTATTTTGATATATTTTTTATATTTTACTCTTATTTTAATCTTTTTTCCTCATATTTAGTCTAAAAGACAAAGAGGATGTTTGGCAGTGTGTTGCTTTTAATCATTTAGCTTCTGTTTTGAGTACAAGTGGTTTTACTCTGTTTGGCATTTCAACTTCTGTTTTTCACCACCACTATTTTGTACATAGAACACCATTTCGGAGAAACAGGTATGAGGTGCTTTGGCTTTCAGCTTTTGTGGAAATCACTTTATTCATAAGTTAATCACTCTCAAACCCCCTATAATAATGAACAATTATGAATGTCCCGAAAAAAAGACTAATTATGAACAGTTATGAACGCCGGAAACAAGACCAATTATGAACAATTGTGAACAATCGAGGACCACGAATGCAATACAGAGGATCTTAGAATTGAAGACTAAATATAGAAATTTGTTCTTATAAGGGAGTATTTATGGAATTTACGCTTATTGTTAGAATAACTTTTATAAATAGTCTTTTATAATTAGTGGTGTTCTATTTTTAGTCCCTAATAATTAGATACTCCGTATTACATCTGTGGTCTTTAAATGTTTAAAACTATTTCATAATTATTGTATTAAGCCTTAAAAAGTAATTATGGAATGTTTTTCAATAATCAAAGACCAGGAATGCAATATTTTAGAATCGAGGAATTAAATCTGGAAGATCCTCTATTATAAAAGATTATATTATTTATGAAATTATTGTTAGCGTTATCTGCAATATGCCAAGATCTCATTCTACAGTACTTGAATTAGTGAGCGAGTAATGACCTAACCTTGACATGATAACATTCAGTCATTCACAAACTGTTGGTAATCAATCACCCCATTGTTGTGCATATCTGCCTCCTCCATTAACTCCTCCACTTGTGCATCATTCAACTTTTGGCTGAGACTGTGCATCACGTGGTGGAGCTCGTCGACGGTGATATGCCCGTTGTTGTCCTTATCCAAAACTCGAAACGCATCCCTCAACTCTTCCTCCTCTTCACGACCCAACTTATTAGAAGCCATTAGCTCAATGAACTCGTTGAAGTCTACCGTTCCGCTCCCGTCGGTGTCTGCTTCTTTGATCATTTCTTCCAGCTCTGCTTCTGACAAGCTCCGTCCCAATGATCTCATTACTATTTCAAGCTCTTTGGCATTGACCTTGCCTTGAAAAGTTACACAAGTATACAGTTATGTTAAGTACGATCACACTATTGTTACACGAAGAAGGGTAAAATAATACTACGTACTATTTACTCTCAAACACTTCAAAAATTGCACTTAGTTTCTTTGAATTTTAAAAATTATACCAACGGTCCCTGTACTTTTAAAACTATTGCATCATTGGTCCCTATGTGGTTAACGCGCTCTCAAATCTAACGCTGGGGATCACTTATGCAACTTTTTTGAATGTTTGAGAATCATTGTGTAATATTTTTATAGAGTTGGGGGGTAAATGACGCAAAAAGCTCTTTAGTTAAAATTAGAGTGCTTTTCGAGTCATTTGACTATTCAGACTTCATATTTCAATTGTTTGGGATCAACGTTTTTTATTAGCGTTTGTATTATCAATAAAATTTTATTGATGTTGAAAAGTGATAAAGTTAAGGAAAATTTACCTATGTAGTACAAAAATATAATGAATTTAACAATGTAGTATCATACTCCCTCCGTCCCAAAAAGAATGGGACGGTTTGACTTTTTGGAAAATTAAGGAAGGGATATTTTGGTATTGACTTTCCAAAAATACCCTTGATGTGATAGGTAAAAATAGGATGTGATGGGTAGATTATTAGAAAAAAGGTATGATGTGATAGGTAGGGTATGAAAAAGTAAGGGGTAAAAGTAGTTTTTTAATAGAAATGTAACGGTCTTTATGAGACGCAATTTTTTCTAAACGTAACAAACTTTTTGGGACGGAGGGAGTATATTTTAATTTCTCAATATAGTACCAATGTTAAATGTCCATTTGACATTGTTCAAGTAATGTCCTCCGTCACTGGACATTGTTCAAAGTAAATGTCCTCTGTCAGTGAACATTGTTCCCGACGTTGGACATTGTTCAAGTACTATGTATAAAATAAAAAGTTTTAGGCACTATATTGGGAAAAGACAAATGTTATTAGTACTATTTATTCTAAATTTCACTAAAGCTAAAGACTACTATTAGATAGTCTTTTCAAAACCCTAACGTTAACCTTTAACACTGATGCTAAATATGGCTTAAATCTTAAAATCCAAACTTAAGCTATGCTTGAATTAAAACTTAAAAGGTATAGATTGATAGGAGTTGTTCTTCCATAGTCCCAAGATCCACATGTAAAATGTGGACCTTCCTACATTTTTTATGGGCCGGCAAGTAGGTCTTTTCTATTTTGTCAAAGGTCTAATTCTTTTACGATATTATGCATTAAAGTCTATAATACGAGAATGATCCTTAAGACCACAGAAGAATTTGCCAAACTTGAGGTCATAAGCCTTTGGTAGTTTTAAAAATGCAAATAAGGAGCAGTTTATGGCTTCGCATATACTTTAAGCGGCTACCGTATCCGGAGTAATAATTTGTTAGAAGATTATTTAACGGACAGCTTGCAGAAAGATCAGTAATGTAACTTAGCATTATGCTAAAAAATACAGTAATCTAGAATGAATTTTTTTAATAGTAATCCTATTGGCAATTTCCCTTTGAAATGGTGATTCTTACACTATGTTTTGTTCAAGAAATTTGGAAGAAAAATTAAAGAAAATGAATTTCTTTCATTTTCCTCATCAAAATGGAAGGAATTTGGGTTTTCCTTCTTTTAGTATATTTTGCCTCTCATTTGTTATTCCCTCCATTTTTCTTTTCTTTTTCTCTTTAACCAAAATTAAAAATTGTTTTCAATCTCATTTTCTTTTCTTTTCTTTTTCAGATTCCTTGAACCAATAATGATTTTATTCATCAAAAGTTTATTGTTTCAAATGCAGAAACAACAACAAATTATGATCAAAAGGCCACTTACCAATCATATAATAATTTGATATATTGAAATATTAAAAATGTACAAATTCAAAGAAAAATAAATTTTTTAAAATAATGAAATGCACTCCATTCTATAACTGATTACACTTTTGAAGATACGTGTTAAAAATCCCCTGATTTTTAAGTTTATTTTATTTACAAATTGGTATGGAAATATTACATTTGATCTATTCCACTATAGTTTATAAATTATTTCAAATTTTCAGTTTTTATTTCCCGTGTCACCATTTTGTGATTAGACTCATTAATATTTTTTCTTCCATTTTTAATATAAATAATACAAGGTATAATTTTATTTGAAAATATTTTTGTTTTAAAATTTACAAGACACTAGGGCTAGGAAAGAATCCCGAAACGATTGTCCCTACTCAAAGTATCTGAGTCACATATCCTATAATGTTCCATTTTGTTAAGGATGAAAAAAAAATTAATCTCAAACCCGTTCCGACCTATTTTAAAATGGGACAAAATAGGGACACATAAATATTTTCCCGTTATGTCCTGTTGTCCCATTTAAATGTATATATCTATTTATTTATTTATATAATAATACCATAAAAAATTATTATAATTTTTGTTTTCCACAAAATAGATATAAAAAATATCCATATTCTTCTAAAAATGGATTAGGATCGGAACACCTAAAAATTCACACCGTTCTAACCCAACCCTCCCTAATTTGTGCCTCATAGTTTTTATGAAGCTTATAATCTTGAATTGTCACATATGTTGTAACATCTTTTCATGTTTCCTTATTGTTTTGGCTTTTTTAATATTCTAAATTAATGTATCATATTTCCTATTTTTGTAAGTAAATGTGAGTTGCCTCAAAATAGGACAACCCAAACACGTTTCATTTTATCGCGATCCCGAATATTAGGGGACTAAGTGGGATAAACATGTGACCTGAATCATTTTGAACCGTTTGAAAAAAACGGGACAAAACGAGGGATGCTTAAAACTCAAACCGTTTCAAACCGTGCCCACCCGTACAAGACACTAAACCATGTTTTAAGAATTATAGATATTTTGACCTAGAAAAACATCAACATTTTAAATTAAAAAAATAATATTAATTATACTATTCTCTGTCTCTAATTAAATGAGATATTCAATATTCACATAGTCGATTTTTATTAACTCAAGTTAAATTGCATATTTCGGATTACGATATTTGACTTGAGTTATTTTTAATACATTTTATTAGAGAATTCAGGCAAATTTTAAAAACTAAATTTATATAAAGCAAGAGGTGACAATGTGACGTAACTTTTATCTTATCAAATGAGTTACAAAATTATGGAAAGAAAATAAATGAAACTTGACCTTGAGAATAATAAACAAACAACTTAATTAAGGATAAAGGGAGTATGTTTTTTTAGAAGATGCTCCAGCTTTTCTCGAACTCCAACGAGAAAGCCATAATTTAGCATGAAAGGTAAATTTGATGCTCCAGCCTCTATAAATAGAGGATACCATAAAATAACTATATTAGAAATAGTGTTTAGGACGTAAACTATTTTTTGGCACGTAAATTTTTAGCTTACTTAAATATTTAACTGTAAATATTATCTAGATTTTATTTTGTATTTATAAATGAAATAAAATACAATAAAACTGTATAATATAGAAATTGTGGTTGGAGTAAATGTTAAAAAGTAGATAGTTAAAACACTATTTACATGCTAAAATAACTTTTAGCTTTCTTTTTTTTACATGTAGTTGGAGTTGCTCTAACGGATGAATAGCACAATAAAGGAATAGCACCAAGCTTAAAAAGCACACGAGCAACAAGTGCAAAAACTAGCACCAAGCCCAAAACGCCTCCCAAATATTGTAATATTAGCTCTCGAAACGTTTATATTTAAGGTCATATCCTCGTTAAGAGACAGAAGTCTTAAGTTTATCTAATCATCTCATTCCAATTTTCTTAGGTCTACCCCTTCTAACAACTTCAATAAGCCTCACACATGTTTGCACCCAGTACGCCGCCACCTTACAGTACCACCCAAACCACCTCAGCCTAGTTTCCCGTAGCTTATCCTCCACTGGTGCTACTCCTACCCGTCCTCGGATAACCTTATTTTGAATCCTATCTATCCTTGTCTATCAAATCACCGACCGCAACATTCGCTTCTCTACAACATGCAGTTGACGAACATGAATTTTGTTAACTGCTCAAAACTCTGCACGACTGCACCAGAAAACATAGCTTGTTTGCCAATAGGATTTACGTTACATCCTAGCAAAAATCTTCATATCACATAGAGCCATGAAGCCAACCTCCACTTTGCCCAAGTTGCGCTAATACAATGTGCAACATCCCTACCTAACTCTCCATCTACCTAAATGATGGAACAAAGATATTGAAACTAGTCCACCTTGGGTCCTGAGTGGGAACCAATCCTAATTCCTAACTTTCGCCTCTGATACCATGACCCAACCACTAAAATAACATTCATGTATTTAGTTTTAATCCTACTATGTTTGAAACCTTTCAAAAGAAAGGCGGCGTAGCTCCAATTTGTCATTTAGCCCCTCACATTTATCGTCAAGGAGCACAATTTCATAAGCAGATGTATGTACTGTGGGACCTCCCCTTGAACTCCCTATGACATGACGTCCCACCTTGAAAGATTCCAATGAAAGCCTACTCAGTCTAAAACCTTTGTATCGTCGATGAGCACAATTGCATAAGCAAAAGCATGTACCAAAAGACCCCCCCCCCCCCTCGGAGCTCCCTACGACAAGATATCGCACCTCGAAAGAGAATGGCTCAGAGTTACCCCCGACACTCTTTACCCTAGTTCTCACCCTGTCGTGCATATGTATGTCAGGCTGCACGAATGTATGTCATCGCGGCCACTATACACTCAAGCCACCTCTATCTCCCTCAGTCCCTCGACACCTTGTCGAACGCCTTCTCAAGGTTGATAAACAGCATATAAAGTTCCTTCTTAGCCTTACACTCCTTCATCAACCTATGTATTAGGTAAATGGCCTCTTTGGTCAATCTATCAAGCATGAACCCAAACTAGTGCACGGAATGTACCCCCCATTCCGCAACACATACTCCAGACTATTGGTATAGAATTAAATACTAAAACTTTTTTTTTTTAAATTATATCAAAAGTTCTACAAAACAAGATGTGAAATAACTATTATTTTACGGTTGGGACGTTGGGTTCTATAGCCACTCAAAGAGAGTGGCTACGAGAGACACCATCTCAATTGGGACACCTACGGTGCTCCGTTCACAAATAGAAAAAGAAATGGATAAAGGTTTACCATGTGAATAGTATCCGGAAAGATTATTTTGGGAAGGATGAAGTACTAGTAATAATTATCAAAGATGATCATGAAATCAGAACAAAAGTACTTCTCAGTTAAAACTCTATTTATTGGTAAAATAATACGGAGTAGAAGATTAGTCCATTCAAATAAGATGCAAATATTGGGAGCCCATTAACTCACCGATTTGTTTGACGATGACAAATTATTTCACGCCATTACCTGTGTCATGCATTTTGCTGCACTTGCCGGTGTAATTGCACAATCCAATCCATATAGCTATTTGTGCCACCAACATGGTCCTCAATTAGATTTCTTAGGAGGAAGAATCCTTCTCTAGGCTGTTCACCTTGTCTCACAAGGTGACATAGTTGATAATATGATGGGTCACTTTGTCTAAACTTTCTAAGCAAGCCCATCAGTTTTCTTGAAACTTCATTATCTTGCTCTTGTAGATAAACCTGATCCTCAAAGATCCAATAATAGCCGCATCAGAGGAAAGTTAACAAACTTATGTGCAAAACTAAGATAAGATAGCATGGTAGTCTATGCAGAACTGCTTTATC